ACAGGCTCCGGACGCGCAGGCTCAGCGGCCATGACTCGCGGGCCCAGCCGCTCCGCGGCATGTGGGATCTTCCCGGACCGGGGCACGAACCCGTGTCCCCTGCATCGGCAGGCGGACTCTCAACCACTGGGCCACCAGGGAAGCCCCAGTCATCACTTTTTAATTGACGTTTACTCTATGTAATGTGTCTTTTTTCTTTGGATGCCTTAAAGAATTTTCTTTCTACTGTAGTTTTCAGCAGTTTGACTGTGATGTGCCTAGATAATACGTGTGTGTGTGCGCATGTGTGATATTAGTTGGGGTTTGCTGAGCTTTGTGTTTTTAATCAAATTTTGGAAATTGTCTTCAATTATTTTTTTGCCATATTCTCTTTTCTCCTCTGGGGCTCCAAATACATGCATGTTAGTCTAATTGGTTGATATTGTCCCATAGGTTATTGAAGCTCTGATCATATTTTTTCCAATCTTTTTTCTCCCTGAGCTTCATTTTGGGTAATTTCTATTGACTTCTTTCAAATTCATGAATATTTATTCCATTGTGTCTAGTCTGCTGTTTTTCTTATTCAATGATTTTTTTAAAAAAATTTCAGATATGGTATTATTTCAGTACTAAGATTTCTACTTGGTTCATATTCACAATTTCCATACCTTTTTTTTAATTGACCCATACTTCTAAAATTCACATTCCCCATGTCCTCATGCATTATATCCATCTTTTCCTATAAATTCCTAAACATAATTATAATAAATCCTTGTTTTGTAATTCTAACATCTGGGCTGTCACTGTGTCTACTCCTGTTAACTATTTGTTTTCCTCTTGAGCAATGTCGTGTTTTGCTTCTTCTTCACATATCTACTATTATTTGATTGTATAGCAGATATTGTGGTTATAGAAACTCTAGATCCTCTTATCTTCCTTTGAAGAGTGTTGAATTTCCTTCTGGCCTTCAGCTAAACTACTGGCAGATCCCCTTGATACAGGGGAAGCTTGGTTTCAGTCTTTGTTAGGGAAGGCCTAGTTCCGTTTTACCCTTTGCCCTGGGAAATGGTCTTTATTCCTGAGGTGTGGCCCTCCGGGGTTTCAATGGAAAGGTCGAGGTATTTTATAAGAGCTTCTAACTAGGTGGACTCTGAACTCTTAATCTGCTTTCCATTACTGGGAAATTGCTGAAATCTCTGTTTAGTTCTTTTGGAGTTCTGTTCTTGGCTTCTTGGACTCACTCCATATACATGCACTTTAGGACTCAAACAAGGATCTAAGCAGAGCTTGTGTGCAAATTTTGTGGCTCCCTCTTTCCTATGGTTTCCCTCCTCAATTTCCAGCCACTGTTGCTGCTATACACTCTGACCTCTCATTTCTCAGCCCAGTAAGACTCTTGCTTTCTGCTTGAGCTCTATTGCCCATGTGCAGTGTGGACTTGAAAATGCCCTGAGAGGAAAAGCCAGTTAAATGTGCCTCTCACTTAGTTTGCTTCTTTTCATTTAAGGGTCGTATCTACTCTGGTGGCCTGTTTAGGTTTCTCTCCAGTGCCTTCAAGTGATTTTTTTAAAAATTTAAGTACAGTTGATTTACAGTGTTGTGTTCAAATGATTTTTTAAAAGTATCTTTCCAGAGTTGACACTAGCAATCAGCAGAAATGTTAGTCTGATCAAGCTACTCTGCCATTATTGCAAGCAGAACTCACCCAAATATGTTATTATCCTTTAATTAAATTAATTAATTAATTGGCGGCGCCTCATAGCATGGGGGATCTTAGTTCACCGACCAGGGATTGAACTCGCGCCCCCTGCAGTGGAAGTGCAGAGTCTTAATCACTGGACCGTCAGGGAAGTCCCTATGTTATTATTTTTTTAAATTTTGTTTTGGGGACTTTCCTGGTGGCGCAGTGGTTAAGAATCCGCCTGCCAATGCAGGGGTCACGGGTTCGAGCCCTGGTCCGGGAAGATCCCACGTGCTGCGGAGCAACTAAGCCGGTGTGCCATAACTACTGAGCCTCTGCTCTAGAGCCTGCGTGCCACAACTACTGAAGCCCGCGCACCTAGAGCCCGTGCTCCGCAATGAGAAGCCACCGCAATGAGAAGCCCGTGCACAGCAACAAAGACCCAACACAGGCATAAATAAATAAATAAAAATTTTGCTTTGGTGCCCTGTTTTTCTGGCTCACTAGGCATGTACTTAGTCTTCATATTGGGTAAACCAATACTGGAGTTTGGTTGTCTGTTCTGAGAATTTACTTGATTTAATTTAAATTTCACTGAATAGTCCAGTAAATTAGTTATTGTTCCTAATGGCTCTCAAAGTTTCAGAGGCTGAAAATAGGTCTCTAATAGTGACATCTTGAGTGTTTAAAGTTAAAAAAAAAACCCACTTTAATCTATTTTGTGAAATAGGCAATACATTCACATGGCTCAAAATGTACAAGGTAAAAAGATATACAATAAAAAGCTTCACCCCCACCCCTCTTGCATGTATTAAAAAAAAAAAAAACTGGCAGCCGAAGAGCCCAAACTTTGATCTCTTGCGTTATGCAAGCAAATTGGTTGTATGCTGTCTGTCATAATCCCACGAATTCCTTAACAAAATTTTAAAAATAAATGACATTCCCCAGCAGGGATTGTTACAGAGGAAGGCGTCAATTCTATTTAATTCTGCAAATACTTACTGAGCCATACAGTGTGCCTGGAACAATATTAGCTATTGTGGAGCAGAAACATGAGTCATATGGTTGAGAGTGCACTTCCCTTAATTAGAAAGGAGAAGAGAGTAGAATGAAGGACTATTTGTAAGGAAATCTGATGCCTCTGCTTGACCCAGTTGGAAGAGTTAATAGAATAAGGTTCTGCCTCTGTCCAGCTGATGCCTGGAGTTAAGGTTACATTCTTGGCCCTGTCTCTCTAACAGGGTGTCTGTCTGTCCCGCCCAGCAGCTGCCCCGTTTACAGCCACGCCCAGCACAGGGTCCAAGAACCTTGCTGGAAGCTTGGTGTCTAGTTCACAGTTCTTAGGGAGAGGGAAAAGCTAAGTCTCTGGAATATCAGAATTTTGAACTAGCTACAGTTTACAACTGAAGGGTTCCTCAAAGGGCTGAGTGTTCTCCAGCCAAGTCTGAAAGGGCTGAATCCCCTTCCTAGAAACTGAGAAAAACATGAGTGTCCATAACAGATGTACTGAAAAGACATTGGAAGCTGAGCAAACCTACAGAGGCAGCAGTGAGCACGTCTATTGATACACACTCCTCGTGTGGCCACACCTTCAGGTTCCCACCAGGGCTTGGATAGGCAAGGCAGCATAACGTGTACACAGTGGGAGGGACTGCACGGTAGCCAGGGTGTTTGCCGGAATTTGGGAGTACTGTCGAGGACAGGTAGAAATTATAAATAGCAGTGGTCAGGTTTTACATCTGGGTACCTTTGCTCCTCTGCAGGAATTTCAGATGGAGCACATTCCACCTGCCAGCTGCTCCTGGCCAGAAAATAAAACTTGTGCCTCTTCCATCCTGCCTTTTCCAATGGAACTGAAGATGGGGCTTGGGACTTCTGGCTACCATACAGAAGCAGGCCATGCCATTCTGCTTTCCTGCAGGTGGCAAGCCACCTGGAGGGCTTTGGAAGGCTTTATCTGATCCTCCATTCAAATGCTGAGAACAAAATTAATTTATAAGCACCAGTCCTTCCCCTGAGGATGGAAAAAAGGCTCTAGAGAGTGAAGACTGGTGAATGGAATTAACCACACAGTGTCCACAAGTAATTTCTGAGATGTGTAAGAAGGTCATCGATAGTTTATTTAGTATGCTGTCCTTATGGCTTAATTATAGTGACTGTTAAAGAAAAAAAAAAGATTGATAGGCTTTACTTTCATTCCCAACCTGTTTCCTAATTCTCCCTTCTTAATGAGGCTTAATTTGCTCAGTGGGGGTTTTCAAAAACTGAATTATTATTTTTTTTAAAAATTTATTTAATTAATTTATTTTTGGCTGTGCTGGGCCTTCGTTGCTGCGCGCGGGCTTTCTCTAGTTGTGATGAGCCGGGGCTACTCTTTGTTGCGATGCGCAGGCTTCTCATTGCGGTGGCTTCTCTTGTTGCAGACCACGGGGTCTAGGGTGCGCAGGCTTCAGCAGTTGTGGCACACAGGCTCAGTAGTTGTGGCGCACAGGCTTAGTTGCTGCACAGCATGTGGGATCTTCCCGGACCAGGGCTCGTACCCGTGTCTCTTGCATTGGCAGGTGGATTCTTAACCACTGCACCACCAGGGAAGCCCTCAAAAATTGAATTCTTACGGTGGGAGGGAATAGAGCAGCACCAATAGAAATATAATGCAAGCCACACATGTTTAAATTCTCTAAGCAGCCCAATAAAAAAGGTGAAAAGAAACTATCGACGTTGATTTTAATATTTTCGCTAACCCAATATATCTAAAATATCGTTTCAACATGTAAGCAATATAAAAATTATTGATGAGATAGTTTACCTTTTTTTGGTACTAAGTCCTTGGGATCTGGTGTGTATTTTACACTGCGAGCACACCTCAGTTCAGGCTACTCACATTTCAAATGCTCAACAGCCCCATGTGCATGGGGGCTAGGTACTAGGCAGCACAAGGCTAGAGCGTAGGCCACAGTGATGCCCTCCAGGTCCCTCTATGCATGCAGACAACAGGCCCTCTAGGTCGCGGTCTAGGAGAGCACAAGCCATGATACAGGTGGTGGGAAGCGGGATTTAGGATTGGGTCAGGTGCCTGGATTCCAGCTGAGTTTTGCTGATGAACAGAACTTGAGAGCAAAGGCGAAGGGCGTGATGGGTGGGGAAACCTGAGTAAGGTCTGGGAGGCGGAACGAGGCCCTTTGGAGGACAGGGCTCTGCGGGACGTTTGAGAACTTGGTGGATGGCCGCATCCTGCCACGCTTACGGGTAGGATTGGACCTGGGGCGATCCTGTGGCTGACAGTTGTTCCTTTTTTGTCTTTTCTCCTCCCTCCCCTCTCCCCCGTCCCCGCCCCCGCCAGCGGTGGTCCTCGGCCTGCCCAGCGCCCGGGCCGCCGAGGACGCCTGCGCGAGCGCCTGCCCGGCCGCCTGCGTCTGCAGCAGCGTGGAGCGCGGCTGCTCGGTGCGCTGCGACCGCGCGGGCCTCTTGCGGGTGCCGGCCGAGTTCCCGTGCGAGGCGGCCTCCATCGACCTGGACCGCAATGGCCTGCGCTTCCTGGGCGAGCGGGCCTTCGGCACGCTGCCGTCGCTGCGCCGCCTGTCGCTGCGCCACAACAACCTGTCCTTCATCACGCCTGGCGCCTTCAAGGGCCTGCCGCGTCTGGCCGAGCTGCGCCTGGCGCACAACGGCGATCTGCGCTACCTGCATGCGCGCACCTTCGCCGCCCTCGGCCGCCTGCGGCGCCTTGACCTGGCCGCCTGCCGCCTCTTCAGCGTGCCCGAGCGCCTCCTGGCCGAGCTGCCCGCCCTGCGCGAGCTCGCCGCCTTCGACAACCTGTTCCGCCGCGTGCCCGGCGCTCTGCGCGGCCTAGCCAACTTGACGCATGCGTACCTGGAGCGCAGCCGCATCGAGGCCGTGGCCTCCAGCTCGCTGCTGGGTCTGCGCCGCCTGCGGTCGCTCAGCCTGCAGGCCAACCGCGTCCGCGCCGTGCACGGCGGCGCCTTCCGCGACTGCAGCGCCCTGGAGCATCTGCTGCTCAACGACAACCTGCTGGCCGCGCTGCCGGCCGACGCCTTCCTCGGCCTCCGCCGCCTGCGCACGCTCAACCTGGGCGGCAACGCGCTGGGCCGCGTGGCGCACGCCTGGTTCGCCGAGCTGGCTGAGCTCGAGCTGCTCTACTTGGACCGCAACCGCATCGCCTTCGTGGAAGAGGGCGCCTTCCAGAACCTCTCGGGCCTCCTGGCCCTGCATCTCAACGGCAACCATCTCACCGTGCTCGCCTGGGCAGCCTTCCAGCCCGGCTTCTTCCTGGGCCACCTCTTCCTCTTCCGCAACCCATGGCGCTGCGACTGTCGCCTGGAGTGGCTGCGGGACTGGATGGAGAGCTTTGGGCGCGCCGCCGACGTGCCGTGCGCCTCCCCGGGCTCCGTGGCCGGCCTGGACCTCCGCCAGGTGGCCTTTGGGCGTTCCGCCGACGGCCTCTGTGTGGACCCCGAGGAGCTGAACTTCACTGCGTCCAGTCCAGGTCCGTCTCCAGAGCCAGCAGCCACCACAGTGAGCAGGTTCAGCAGCCTCCTCTCCAAGCTGCTGGCCCCGAGGGCCCCGGTGGCGGAGGCGGCCAATACCACTGAGGGGCCGGTCAACGCCTCGCTGTCTGACAGCCTTCTCTCTCGGGGGGTGGGCAGCTCGGGCCACAAGACACCGTTTCTCCTGGGCTCTGGTCTTCTGCTCAGCATGGCCCAGCACGTGGTGTTTGTCCTCCAGATGGACTGACTGTGCCACCCTGGGGTGGCCCAGATTGCCTTGCCAGGCAAGGGAGTTTAGTTAACTGGGCTTGATGGTGGTTGGTGTGGGGAGAGGGGAACAGGATGGGGGTGGGGGTGAAAATTACAGCGGAGGGTGGAAGGAACAGTTTGCCTCCAGAGATGGCCCTGGGAAGAGGAGGACCCTGGGAAATGCCATGTGTGGGAGGGGGGAGATTATGGATTTCTGCTCCTGTCACATGGGCATAATTGGAAAAGAAGCAAGAAGGAACATGTGCCTTCTGGTGAGAAGACTAGGAATTGGAAGTTTCTAGGGCTACAGGGCTCCACTCTCATCCCTTCCCCCCATCTTCCAGGAAACTGGGCCTGCATGCCTGAATTAGAGTTAATCCATTGGCTAAGTACTAAAAACCGTGCCAATTCTCCTGGTGGGGCAACCATTAAGCCCAATCCCTGGAGCTTCCCTGGTGGTGCAGTGGTTATGAATCTGCCTGCCAATGCAGGGGACACGGGTTCGAGCCCTGGTCCGGGAAGATCCCACATGCTGTGGAGCAACTAAGCCTGTGTGCCACAACTACTGAGCCTGTGCTCTAGAGCCCGTGAGCCACAACTGCTGAGCCCGCGTGCCACAACTACTGAAGCCCGTGTGCCTAGAGCCCGTGCTCGGCAACCAGAGAAGCCACCCACCGCAATGAGAAGCCCACGCACCGCAACTAAGAGTAGCCCCCACTCGCTGCAACTAGAGAAAGCCCGCCTGCTGCAACGAAGACCCAATGCAGGCAAAAATAAATTAAAAAAAAGTCCAATCCCTTTGTTTTCTACTACAACCCTCCTCCCCCTCCCCCAGGAGCCTGGGGACACTAGGGTCCAGGAAGATGGGTAGGACAGGAGAGAAGGGTGATGGGAAAGGGACTTAGACCTAAGGTGGTGGCAGTGATTCGTGCGGTCTGAGATGTGTTAGGGGGTGTTTAAAACAAAGAATCATTTACTCCACAGTTGTTCCCAGGGGTGGCCTTAGCCGCAAAGGAACTTTAGGGCAGGGTAGGGAAAAAAAGAGGAGGGGGCATTGTCTGTGGATAAATACATTTCTAAAAATACTACGGTTAAAAACAAAAAAAGATTAAAAAGGTTTCTCTTCTGCAGGACTTTTCAAGAGTCTTTCATATGCAGACATGCATTGTGACTCTCCCGAGGAGGCCACAAAATCCTCTTTCCTGTTTTGTGGGAAGAGGAAAGAGTGTCCTCTTTCCTGTTTTGTGGGAAGAGTGTCCAAAACAGCATCTCTAACACAGAGATGCTGTTAGTGGGGCGGGGAGTCTCCAGCTTGGATGATCCCATTAGGTGTGGGAATTATTATGGGCCGCACACTTTGGGGCTGACTAACGGGCCAAGAGGAAAGGAGGCAGCCAGTAGCTGGGAAGGGGGGCTGAGCGATTTCTCAGGATGGGAGGTGGCCAACTGTAAGCCCCCAAGCCTGAATGCCAGAGTAGAGGCTGTGTGTCTGCTACATAACATGCTCAAGCTGACCTCCACACACATGTAACAATGACTGCCTTTGTCAACATCCTGGCAATTCCTAATCTTAATGTCCTCTCTCTGTATTTGAAGGGGTGTGTTTTCAAAGACCACATGGATTCAGGGTGTGCTGAGCTGTCAGTTCTTCAAGGCCATAGTGCTTCTTCTGTGTCTCTAGGTAATACAAACTATTAGAAATGTTGCAGAAAGCACCACTGAGTGCAGGAGTGTTCAAATGGATTGTGACCATTAGTGGTCATCAACTCAATTTAATGGGTCACAACCAGCATTTTAAAAAACAGGATAGACTCTGATGCCCAGATCCAAGAGGTAGATTGCTGTGTATAGAAGGAAGTTAATCTCCTGTCTTCTGCAGCACACAAGCTGCTATTTTTATCTTCAACATAACACACTCTGGTATCAGTATTGGGAAAATATTTGGCTGATGTAGATATGATCTGAGTGGTAATATCCTTTATTTGGTATTGCCCAGAGCAGAGCATATCACAATAATAAGTAAGGTGGGGACTTCCCTGGTGGCGCAGTGGTTAAGAATCTGCCTGCCAATGCAGGGGACACGGGTTCAATCCCTGGTCCAGGAAGATCCCACATGCCTTGGAGCAACTAAGCCTGTGAGCCACAACTACTGAAGCCCGCGCGCCTGGAGCCTGTGCTCTGCAACAAGAGAAGCCACCGCGATGAGAAGCCCACGCTCCGCAATGAAGAGTAGCCCCTGCTCACCGCAACTAGAGAAAGCCTGTGCGCAGCAATGAAGACCCAACGCAGCCAAAAAAAATCAAGTAAGTAATGTGCATGTTACCACATTTTGTTCAAATTTCACAACTGTGTATAGCAAGCCTGCAGCAAACAAACTTCTCAAATATTAGCAACAGTTTAGAGAAGGATTAAGGAAGAACAGGAGTCTCTGAGCAGAAGGAAAGGAACAGAAAGAGCAGAGAAGAAATGTTTGGCATCAGCCAATATTTTCTAAACTGGTAATTAGTTGTCTGAGATTGGGAGGTGGGGCGGGAGCTCAGGCAGGGGATGGGAAATATATCAAGAAACACTTTAGCCGTAAAAAAAATCTTAACTCCTGAGTCATGGAAATATTAAAGGAATTTACCAATCAAAAAAAAAAACCAGGATAGAAAAGTCACAGAGCATCACATGTAATATTGTACGTATTGTTTTGTGGAACTTTTAATCTGTATGCGTTTGTTCAGATTATATGTGTGTGTGTGTGTGTCTGGATTGCTGCATATTTATACTTTATTGTGGCTTATCGTTAAAAAAGTTTGAAAGTCACTAATCTGGAACATGCATGGTTCTTTTTTTTTTTTTGCGGTACGCGGGCCTCTCACTGCTGTGGCCTCTCCCTCTGCGGAGCACAGGCTCCGGACGCGCAGGCTCAGCGGCCATGGCTCACGGGCCCAGCCGCTCCGCGGCATGTGGGATCTTCCCGGACCGGGGCACGAACCCGTGTCCCCTGCATCGGCAGGCGGACTCTCAACCACTGTGCCACCAGGGAAGCCCCTGAGCACCTTTTCATATGTACTATATTTGCTTTCTCTCTCTCTCCATATTGTTATCATTTCTCACGAACAGTTTGAGTTAGTTGTAAACATCATGACCCTTTACCCCTACATACCTAAGTGTGTATTTCCTAAGAGCAAGGACTTTCTCTTATCCATGATGCCATTATTACAATCAGGATCTTTATCATCAGTAGAATACTATTATTTAAAATATACTCTATACTGAAATTTCAACAGTTGTCAAAATGATTTTTTAGGCAGTCCTTGTTTTTCCTATGGGTGGAAAATGAGGTTCCTAGTTCGTGGCTTGTACTCATTTGATCGCAGTAATCAAAATTCTTAATTCGTTGGTTGATTTTAATGTTTCAAAATGAATTCGTTCTCTGAATGTCTTACTTTTCAAATGTGAGAACAAGATGAGGTCAGAAATGTTGTTTGCTCAAACTGTACGTTGTGGCCATGGTAACTGAGTGAGGCTCGTGAGAACCCTGGAGGCGAGATCTCTGCATTGGGTAACCATGGGAGTCCACAGCAGACCTGCAGCCTGTGTTACTGAGGAACAAGGTGCCACCTTGGGAGGAATGCCCTTCCTTTCATTTGGAGTGGGTTCCTGAGAGTCAGCTGCAAAATGCTGCTCCAGGTCTGCCTGGGTAGTTAGATGGTGAGCTTTTTACCGAACATTTGTTTGGCTTAAAGTTTCTGAACAAGTATCAACGCTGAAGTAGCCTCTGGGGAGACAGATTTTTATAGAGCTACCCAGCCCAGTAGAATTCTGGGAACGTGAGAGTTACTTTCCAAACAGATCCGGAGTTGCCTGGAATGAGTTCCCAGTCAATTGTGGCCATTATGAGCTCTCATGAGAGAAAGGGGAGTGGAGAGTTCCCAGTTTTGAGTTCACTAAGTTTCTCACCCCATCATTGGCTGTTTAGTACCTTGGGAAATGTTAAGGTACTATGAATTCTGCTAAGCAAATCTTTGTACCCGTCAGGATGGACCACATTATGCTGTGGTAACAAACAACCGCCGAACTTCAGTGGCTGACGGAGGGTTATTTCTTGCTCATGCTACATGTCCAACATGGACTTATTAGGGGGGCCCTGTGCATTGTAGCCACTCAGGGACCAAGGCTGAAGAAGGATCTGCCATTTGAGGACATTGTTATCCAAACATGGGCTCTAGGGTTTGCTGCAACAGAGAAAGAAAGCTTGGGAGAATCATCACTCTTAAATGCTTCCACCCAGATGTGACACATGTTGCTTCTCATATTTTACTGGCCAAAAATGTCACACAGGGACTCCCCTGGTGGTCCAGTGGCTAGGACTCCATGTTCCCAATACAGGGGGCCCAGGTTCAATCCCTGGTCAGGGAACTAGATCCCACATGCTGCAACTAAGAGTTCGCATGCCGCAACTAAAGATCCCGCATGCCGCAACTAAAGATCCCGCATGCAACGAAGATCCTGCACACCTCAACTAAGACCCGGTGCAGCCAAATATATAAATAAATATTAAAAAAAGTCACATGGCCACACTTCACCAAGGCAGGGAAGTATGGTCTCCCCATGTGCCCAGGAGGAGGGGGAGAACTGGGAATATTGGGGAACACTGGCAATGTTCCAAAGCACTAGAGGCTCCAGGCGGGTCACCTGACAGAACAAAGCCTGGACTGCTCAGAACTGTAAGAAGACATAGAGGCTTGCGGGGGCAATCTGGTGAGCGAGCCACTAGCCCCAGCCTTTCTCTCCTCCCAGCACCCCAACTAGGCTTTGAAGACAGTATTTGCTTTAGCCAATAGGAATGCTGTGGCCTCACTGTATTGGTTCTTTCAGGAAAGGGGAGAGAAAATGTAGAGACAAAAGGTTCATATTTTCCCCTTTGTTTTCCATGCAAAGACTCAACTTGCAGTATTAAAATCCCCGGAAGCTTGATCTTTGGAAAATTCCCTCTCAGAAAGCTCCCTGGCTGTTTTGAAGAGGTCTCCCTGTGGTGGTTTCACAAGGATGGTCAACAGCCCTCCGGTCCACCCACCTTTGTCAGGCCACCACAGTGTTACATTCTGGAGGACACTGTCTGCTGGGCCCAGCTGTC